TTAACATTGGGGCCTAGGAGATAGCTCAGCAGAATAAGCACTTGCCTGGCAAGAGCAAGGCCCTGAGTTCAATCCCCAGTACCACAGAATAAACAAACAAACAAATAAATAAATGAATAAATGTAAAACTGAAATGTCTACACAATAAAATGTTAGCATTAGTTATCTCTGAGTGATGTGATTTGGGTGGTTTGTTTTCTTCTCTATTTTTTGCAGATCTTCAATAATGGACATGTTACTAATAAGAGGAAATGGAGAATGGATTTTTAAAAATTACTGTTAAGCACTACTCACAAAACAATGAGAAAAGCTCTCAGACATTCCCACTTAAGTGTAAATTCATTATTGCAAATGCTAACGCTGAATAGAATAAAACACTATTTCATTTACAAATTTAAAACCAAAGACCAGAGTAACTGACTCAAGTTGAAGTAGCTATTAAGTGATCATCCTAGAGAACACAGTACTGAACTGGAGGCCAAAGTGAAATCCTTAAAAGTGCTGGGCTCTAAAAGGAAGAAGCAGAATAAAGTTAAGTGGCTGAATGCAGCTCAAAGCTGGAAAAGAATCCAATTGGACACATTCCCTGCCCACTCCTTTCCCAAATATATGGGAAGCTATTACCTGATTTTTTTTTTTTTTTTTTTTTCCTTTGGAAGCAGGGATTGAACTCAGGCCCTTGCACTTGCCAGGTAAGCGCTTAGTCTACTGAGCCATCTCCCTGGCCCCCTTATTACCTGATCTTGTGAAGATCCCTGCTAATGGGAGGTGACCTGAAATCCATCCAGCTTGCTGAAATTTACCTTCATGCTTATCTTCTTCATTCTCTCCTGAAATCCTTCAATAGCTGTTCAAAATATGCCAAGACACAATGCTTGCCGGTTCTCATTCTCACTGCTTTCCTTGGTGAAGTCTCCAGCAATAAGGGCTCAAATATGGTACCTCATAATTTAGACCATATTGTTTTATTAGCTATTCTATGCTTTGGCCTCAGTGTCCATTCTCTTTTGTGTGTGTGTGGGGGGGGACAGAGATTGAGACAGGGTGTTGCAACAATCCTGCTTCAGCGAGTGCTGGGATTATAGACCTACACAATCACACCCCGCTTTCCAGTGGGTTTTTTTTTTTTTTTTTTTTTTTTTTGTGGAACCAGGGATTGAACTCAGGCCCTTGAACTTTTTTTTTTGTACTTAATTCACACTGTCATATTGAAAAAACTTTCTCTGAACCCTTCCTATTTCTAGCCTGGGTGTTCTTACTTAGAACTTGCAACTCACTGCACTTAGTCAGGCATTGAGGTTTCTATGTATTTCACTGACTTCTGAGATGCTGAGGACAGACTGAGCATTCCTTATTCACCAAAACATATTTCCTGTAACACTGTGCGCACACCACATAATCTAAATAAATGGGCTATTACCTATGCAACTTAGGTACTGGAATGTAAATTTAGAGCTCACAATTGCAGAGCTGAGACTTAACCCTTCCTCCCCGAAATAACAGCTGTCTGGAACCATTTCTCCATATCAAAATTCTGCTTCTGTCCAGCACTGTAGATCCTCGCCTCTGCTACAACTGAAATGTGGCTCATCCAGAAATACATAGCCCATGAAGCTTTCTACCCCACACCTGACTGGTGTCGGTGTTTCCCCTTCCATCAAATCCATTTCCAAACCGTTACTGCTTTGCTTTCATGTAAGTCCTCACACTTTTTTAAAAAAAATTTTTTATTTATTTATGTATGTGTGTGTGGCCAGCTCAGCCCACCAGGGGGCGGGGCTGGCTGGCATGTGGTGCTGGGGGATTGAACCGTGGTCCCTGTGTTTTGCTAAGCTTGTTGTAAGTAGGTGCTTTAGACCACTGAGCCATCTCACCAGCCCCATTCCTCACACTCTTAAAGATATGTGGTCACACAGTACCTCCTATGCCCTTCCCCATCCACTAAGGTGTTGCACTGGTTTAGTCTTCCTCCCTGCTCTCTTCTGGCTTTCTTCACCCTAGGAGACTTTGAATGTCTATGAAAATCACCTACACAACCCCTATTTGCAGTCCCTCCACTCAGCTGAAATGACCAACAAAATTCCCTGCACCACCATTCCCTGCACTTGTCTCCACCCTGGCTGCCTGGCTCTTTGAGCCTCAGGCCCTTAAGAGACCTTGAATTCCCTGTCTCGTCTATGTTACGATATCAAGCCCATCTCCACTTCAACTCCTAGGCAGGCCAGACTCCAGTCACTTCATTAGAATCCTCCACTTCACACCTTGATGCCCTTTCCGCTAGCAGTGAAAAACTTCAGTCCTGGATTGATCAATCATCTTTTTTTTTTTTTTAACTCTCTCCTTTCCACATAATGCTGAGTGTTACAATAGGAAATCACTCAACTAAACTGTAGTCACTACAAATTCAGCCTCTCAACATTTTATCTTAAACAGATGCAAATTGAAATGCACACAATACTACTTTCCTCCTGATAAAACATGTTGGGAGATGTGCTTCTCCATTCTAAAGCTAAAATCTCTGTGCTTGGCCCTATCCTGGTGGGTCTTTAAAGGGATCTTCCTCCACCCCTGCCCCATAATCTGATGATGTCTTTTTTTTCTGATAGCCTATCTTGTACCTCCAGCTTTTGCTTATTCTTCCATATTTATGGCTAAACTCCTGGAAAGTGACCTCCATGTTTCCTGTCTCCACTTCCCATTTCCTGCTGAATCTGCTGTCTTTTCTCTGTACTCTATGAACAGTTGCTCCCTGTATGCCATTTCCTTTCTGCCAAATCCATTACCCACTTCAGCCTCATGTCTCGATTTCCTGTGAAAACCTTGTATTCCTGTGCTTTCTGCCCCTTTTCTTATCCTTTTCAATGGACACCCTTTCTTCTATATACTAAGTGCACTGACTGTCACCTGGGTTCTTTCCCATCTTCATCCTTACTGTGCTTTCCTTGATAGTTACAAAACTATGTGCTCACTTTGGCAGCACATGTACTGACAATACTAATTTTTTATTATCTCTAGAACAATCCTCTCATGAGCTTCAGATCTATACACAATTGCCTACCTATAATCTCATGCAGTACTCAATCTGTTTTATTCTGAATTAATCATATTCCTACTCTCTCCTATGTAATTTTTCTTCCTCTTGATACCCTGTGACAACAATCTTGAGTTTTATGCTTTTGACTCTCATCTTTCAATTCAATCAATGAGTCTTGTGGCTGGGTGTGGTGGTGCACACCTGTTATCCCAGCCCTGGAGAGGATGAGGCAGGAGGATCACAATGGGTTTGAAGTCAGCCCATGGCTAGTAAGTTCAAGGCCTGCCTGAACTGTATAGTAAAACCTACCTCAGGAAGGCAACAAAAACAACCCCCTCCCTCCCAAAAAAATACTGAGTCTTTACAATTCTCTTAAAAACCTCTGAGATCTACTCATGTTTCTCTGTATCTGCTGCCCCTATTTACTAGTGTTAAATGTATCAGTGCAGTAGTTAAACTCATCTGGGCTCAAGTTCTCACTCTATGTATTATCTAGCCGTGTAATCTCAAGTAAAAGCCTCTTAAGGATCCAGTTCTCAACTCAAAATACATTAGTTACCATTAGGTACAGCTCATCAGCATTTCTAGTTTATTCCCACAACTTCATGAGAGGTCTCTTGACTTATAGCCTGTTCTTATCTCTAGTAATCTTTCTAAAACACAAATCAATCAATTACTCCTTACTGTAAGCCCTTTTATATTTCCCCACTGTATAACAATGCAGATATGACCTTTAAAATCTCACTCTTGTTAAATACTAAATCCTTATTCCTGTCCTCTGCCTAATACAAGGAAAACCACACTGAATGAACTCCATTCTCAGACTTAAACTCTGGCTTCCTATCTACATGGTTCCTTTGCCTACAAGTCCTCCCCTAAGCTCCCCTTCCCACCACACCCACAAATATGGTGGGACAGTAGATCAAATGATAGCTTTGCTTTTCTTTTTTTGTGATACCAGGGATTGAACTTAGGACCCTGTGCTTGCCAGGCAAGTGCTTACTCTACTGAGCTATCTCCCCAGCCCTTGCTTTTCTTCTCTATTGGGTATCACTTTTTATTTATTTATTTATTTATTTGAGAGAGAGAGAGAGAGAGAGAGAGAGAGAGAGAGAGTGTGTGTGTGTGGCCAGCTCAGCCCACCAGGGAGCAGGGCTGGCTGGCATGTGGTGCTGGGGGATTGAACCGCGGTCCCTGATGCTTTTGCTAAGCTTGTTCCAAGTAGGTGCTTTTAGACCACTGAGCCATCTCTCCAGCCCCTGGGTATCACTTTTTTGAAAGTCTTCTGGATTTTAACAAGGTCCTTAATGTTCCATACCTCTCTGTACATATCTGTTAGTCTCTATCATAGTTGCCTGACTATCAGTAATTTTCATGAGGATAGTCACCATGCCTGTTCACAATTATATTCCCCAGTGTTTAGCTTAGCTATGGATATAGAAGACATTCAATAAATTACCTGTTGAAGAAATTAGTGAGTATGCACTACTTGCGTACCTCTTTAAAATTATCCAGAAACTTAAACTGCTACAACAACCTCACCAGTTTATACAACCCTTAATATAGAATGGATTTATTTCTCTATTACATAACCTTATGGAAGTAATGATCTAATACAAATACGCTATATTTTGGAAAATGTAAACCTTAAGGAAGGTTAACTGTCAAGTCAAAGAAGAAATTAAAAAAAAAAAATTATTTGGTACAGGGTCTCACTAGGCAGCTTAGATTTGTAGTGATCCTCCTGTCTTCAGCCTCCCCAACATTGGAATTACAGGTGTGCACCACCACGGTTTCCAAGGCCGGCTCAGCACACCCAAGAGTAGGGCCAGCACAGCTTGTGGTGCTGGGGATCGAACCCTGGTCCCTGTACTTGCCTAAGCAGGTTTTTAGTCTGCTGAGCTATCTTGCTGGTCCAAAAGAAGAAATTTTAAAGGATTATATTCAGAAAATTCATTACACATAGTGAAAAGAGACAATAAAAGGAGGCTTTTTTTATTCAAAGGTATAACTGGATAAGTAATTTGTTTACAGCCATTCTTGTGAAATACTTTTTTAAAAAAATACGACCAACTTCTTCGCAAACAGTAGACACATACCTCAACTATGATGACTCTAATTTTTGGTGGATAATGTACACATGATTAGGCAGAAATAGGCAAGCTCACACTGGTAGATTAACTATCAGATGCTCAGTCAAAATTCCGTTTGTGGCCTCCGTTTCTTGATCGATTTCTGTTCCCACTTCGTCTTCTACCATCTTGTCGACTTCCTGAGCGACTCCCCTGTCGACTCTGTCTACCTGACCGGCCACCAGATCGGCCACCTGAGCGGCCTGACCGGCCAGACCTGCCACTTGACCAGCCACTCCTCTGTCTGGAATTAGAAGATGTGTTTCCATCATAATATTCTTCAATTTCAGGTAATTTGGCTGGCACTGAGAGTATCCAGTCTGAATCATGCCACTCTGCCTGTCAGGGGAATTTACAAAATTAATATAAATGCAAAACAGAAGCCAGGAGCAAGAAAAGCCAATTTAAAAAAAAGCCCTTTTCATATTCTTTATCTATTAATTAAAGGTCATATTTGGTTTATATGTTCTAAAAGAAAGCATCACCTGCTTTGTCAGCACAAACAAAAAGGCCATTAACAAGCAGTGTATCAACACATAGCATCAAATAGTGCAAATAACATCAACAGGATCAAGAAGTAAACAGCTGATGATGGACGGACTGAAAAATGTAGCCAGTGAAAACAATCTGGTATTACAGTAAACAACTCAAATCATATAAATCAGGGAGCTGGTATCACTATGTGATAGCTACATTAACTGTGCATAATAGCTGTTACGGTTGATACACTGTGTCAACTTCATAACAATAATCATGAGTTGACAACAGGGTGGAAAGAGATGAACTTTCTCACACACTACTGATGGGTCTGGGGATCTGTGACTGAAGTCTTAAAAATGCACAAACTTGTTGGACAATAGTCAAAGAGTGATTGGGGAGATAGCTTGGTGGCAAGGACATAGGTTTGATCCCTGGTACCACATGCTGTGTGCTGCCACTAGGTGTGGTGGCACATTGAGTCTGAGCTGCATAGCAAAACCCTGTACCAAATACATTAATAAAAGATTAAAAAAAAAAAAAAAAGTAAAAAAGATTAGTGTGGCCATGCATGAAGAATTAGCTATACCAATGTTCAGAGCTATCCTGCTTGTATTACTGGAAATAATCTAACCTGAAGAACAGGACACTGGTGGTCAAACTTGGGTCACATGACTACATGCACGTGTGAGGCTCTGAGTTTGAACCTCATCACTATGAAAACCAAAACCAAGGGGCTGGGGAGATGGCTCAGTAGGATAAGCGCTTGACTGGCAAACGCAAGGATCTGAGTTCAATCCCTGGTTCCACCAAAAAAAAAAAAAAGAAAGAAAACCAAAACCAAACCAAACAAAAAACCCAATAGGATAAATATGGCAATATATGTTTACAATTATAGAATGTTTAGAAATTATCTCAAAAGAATGGGACAATAGATGGAAATAGAGGAAACAAACTCAACATGAGTTAATTGCTGGAGCTGGTATGTACATGGGGGTTCATTACATAATTCTATCTTTATGTTTGAAATTCATAACATTTTAAGTAATGAGACAAGCTGCACATTTTATATTCAGGAATTCTTTTTTTAAATGGAGACAGGGTCACACTGTGCAGTTCAGGATGGCCTTGAACTCACTTTGTAGCCCAGGCTGGCCTGCCATGCAGTGATTCTCCTGCCTCATGTTCCCGACAGCTGGAATAATAGGAGTGTGCCATAACTCTTGGGTATATGCAAGGATTCTTAATTGGTTTAGGCACAATAATCACATAATAACTATGTTTCCCAAAGCTATCTTTTAGAGAAACACATTCAACTATTTAACAGATAAAAATTTTAAAATACCTGTAACCTTTCTGACTCAGTTGTGGGAACATCAAAGCAAACACCCTAAAGGTAACAAAAAAATAAAAAGAAAATATTATTTAGACGCATAGGAGTTAAATTTTACTAATAAACTAGTACTTGTGGATAATCTGATATTTGCTAAGAAAGAAGGTATTAAATGTGTTACATAATTGCTTGCAAGTTCAAAATAGCTAATACATGACGACACAGGAAATTATTTGCAATTCAAAATCTGAAAAAACTAAATACAGCATCTAATAAAGTCAATCTATATAGAGTATTCTCTAGAAGAACTTTTTAGTTTTGTTTTGTGAGACAGGGTTCAGGCTGGCCTTGAGCTCACACTGTAGCCCAGGCTGGTCTCCAGCTTGTGAGGATCCTCCTGTTTCAGCCTCCTGAATGCTGGGATTATAAGCATGTGCCACCATGTCCAGCTAGAACTTTTAAGACACTATAATTAGCTTTATATCCATTGTAAAATAATCCCTCCAATAAATTCCTTTAAAAATTTAGTGAGGGCCTACGGGTATATAGCTCAGTGGTACAACGCTTGCCTAGCATGTAAATACCCTAGTTTTGATCCCCAGCACTACAAAAATAATTAGTTACAGTTTTAAAATTTAGTGTCAGAAAAATTCTCTCTTGAAGACCTGTAGTGTTAATAAAGACTGATATGACCTAAAATGTTTCTTCTTTAATCTTGGTTGCTGTAAGTAGAAAGCTAACTTAATACTCAATGCAGTTGGCCTACAGATCTTTCTGCATTTCCTCTCTCTGCCTTTTTTTGTTAATGTGCATTAATTGTCTCCTACTTGCCTCAAATTGTTGTGGAAGATAAGTGACATTCAAACTTGAGAGATGATTATTTCCAATAAATAATTTAGTTAGTAAAATTCAGAATAAATCTATGTAATAAAGTTAGAGGAAGAGGTGGCCAGATAGCTCAGCAGACTAACTAAAGTGCCTGCTTAGGGAGAGTGCAGACACCGGGGACCCTGGCACTACAAGCTGTGCCAACCCCACCACTGAGATGCACTGAGAGGGGGACTGAGAATGGGTGTGGTGACACACACCTGTAATCCCAGCATTTGGGAGGCTGAAAACAGGAGGATCACTATGAGTCTAATCTGTGTAGTGAGACCCTATACTAAAAACATTAAAAAAAAAAAGTTAAAAGAGGAAATAAATATAACATTTTCTCAAAACTATTAGAAGAAATCAGTCACTAAGATTACCGCTTGAACTATTCTATGTAAATATATCAAAATACTCTGTATCATTATCCTTGTTAATCAATAGCAGACTAATTAAAAGAAAATTTTGTGTTCTCTAAATTATTGTTTAATCTTTGCAATCATAAATCATTAAGTCTTAGGGAAAAAAAAAAAACCACATACGAACACCCATGCTATGTATCCCGTGGCAGGGGGCGCTGGGGAGATGGCTCAGTGGAATAAGTGCTTCCCTGGCAAGCGCAAGGGCCTGAGTTCAATCCCCAGTTCTACCAAAAACAAACAAACAAAACAACAGCAACAATAACAACAACAAAACAACCTGAGATGCAACATTTTGGGGGCTAGGGAGATGGCTCAGTGGAATAAGTGCTTCCCTGGCAAGCGCAAGGGCCTGAGTTCAATCCCCAGTTCCACCAAAAAAACCCTGAGATGTATCTCATGGCAAAAGCTCAGGTAAGCTGAGTATTACTCAAAAAAACAAATGACTTGTAGCTCTGCAAATATAACTCTCCAAATTTATAACTGAAAACAAACCACACTAAAAAAACAAAACAAAACCAAACCTATTATTCAGCCTATTATGCTTGAACAAAAAAAGAAATAAGGAACACAGTTTTTGAATTCTTTTCTTTTTGTTTGTTTGTTTTTTTTTTGGCTGAACTGGCGATTGAACTCAGGCCCTTGCGCTTGCCAGGCAAGCACTTACTCTACTGAGCTATCTCCCTGGCCCCTTGGCCCCTTGAAACATAGTTTCTTACTCTTTATAAACATTCCTGATAGCTGATTAAAAAGTTCTTTTGTTATCTAAAAAAGCCTACCATGTTTCCTTTTAGGAGGCACATTCTGGTTATTTGGGATACCGCAGTACTACTCAGCTTTCTGTTAAGTTCTTTCCAAGCGCAGCTGACATCTTGTATTTCTTCCGGGCTCTCCAGGGTCATGGTCACAAACCCCTAAGGAATACAACTTACATTATGTTCTGAAAAACAACAGGAGCAGCAGTAGCAGAACAATGCAATTGCACCTCTACAGACTCTTAATAACATAACTGTATACCTTTTATGACTAACAACTGGAAACTAGAATAACTTTGAAACTATTGAGAAAACAAATGCTTACAGATCCCTGAAAGACGCATTTGTTCAGTCCACTGATATAAAGATATTTAATTTTAACTGGCATGCTCTAAAACACAAGGAAAAAAAAAAAGCAAGCACCAAAGAAGATAACAAAGTAGCAAAGAACTATGTTGAAGGAATCAGAGTTAGACTGGAGTGAAACAAACAAACAAACAAACAAACAAGAGGATGTAAAATTTCTTTAATTCTGAAAGACCAAAATTACTTGTTCGGTAATGCTTTACTAGACAAAAAGATCAACACAGAGATAAAGACAGGCATTTACCTATTTCTTAACTGCTTGTGATGTATCTGCCAGAGACTGTACTATAGGTGCTAGAGTGTCAGTTTTTCTTACAGAGATTATACTACTGATGGTGGTGTGTTGTGTATATGCCTGGGGGGGGGGGATTAGGCAGTAAACAATAATAAGCATGAAGGAAAATAAAGGGGCTGGGGAGTTAGCTCAGTAGAATAAGTGCTTGCCTGGCAAGCTCAAGGGCATGAGTTCAATCCCCAGTTCCACACAAAAATAAATAAATAAAAAATAAAGCAGGACTAGAGAATGATTTTTTTTTTTTAAATTTGGCGGAACTGGGGATTGAACTCAAGACCCTTGTGCTTGCCAGGGAAGCGCTTATTATAGTGAGCCATCTCCCCGGCCTAGGACTAGAGAATGAGTAAGAAAAGGAATAAGCTATTTCGGAGTAATTAGAAAAACTTCTGAAAAAAAAAAAAAAAGAAAGAAAAACTTCTGGTATGGTGCTGTTTGGACAGAAACCAGAATGAGGAGGAAGCACATGGTTATCAAAGAGGAAATAAGGAGGGGCCAAGGAGATGGCTCAGTGGAATAAGCGCTTCCCTGGCAAGCACAAGGGCCTGAGTTCAATCCCCAGTTCCGCCAAAAAAAAAAAGAGGAAATAATGAAACAAGTGCAAAAGCCATGTGTAGGGCTAGGCATGGTGGCATATGCCTGTAACCCCAGCACTTGGATCAATGCACGTTCAAGGCCAGCCTGGACTACATAGTAAGACTATCTGAAAAAAGAAAAAAAGTCTGTGTAGGAGTAGTTTAATGTTTAAGTAAAAGCAAGTATGAGAGTAGCTGAGACAAACAATAGGGAAATGGTAAAAGATGAAGTCACAGAAGAGTAGCCTCCAGCACGCTCACTGTGCCACACTGTAAGGCTCCAGTTTAACATGTTTGAGATGTGGCCATAATTTATATCTCGATGCCCAGTGGTTTGACTCACTGATAGTACATGTAATGACTGTCCCATGCATGACTGTACCACTTCTACCACAAGTGATACAAGCTGGCAGGAACATTTTAACCCATAAAAGAAATTTCACATTATTAACGCCTTGTTTCTAAGACTTACTCAAAGGTTTATCTGTCAAACGAGGGGTTCTTTTTTGTTCTTATTTTGTCTTGCAATACTTGTGATTAAACCTAGGCCTTCACACTAATCGATATCCCCAGTCTTTTTTTTTTTTTTTTAAACTCTTTAACTTTGATACAAGGTAAGTCACTGCATTGCCCAGGCAAGTTCAAATTGATGACCCTCCTGCCTCAGCATGCTGCAGTGCTAGGATTATAGGCATCTGTCACTATGCTTGGCTATATAAGCTACTTGTAGAATGAGAATACATAGCACATGGCGTATTTATTTTTATTTTTTGTATTTTAGGGAAGGGTCTACAGGGTGTTCAGGGTCTCACTAGTAGATCAGCCTTGTAGTGATCTGCCTATTTACAGGCTCCCAAGAGCTGGGATGATAGGTGTGCACTACCACGGCAGGCCCAGGAATCTAACTCCTCGCCCCCTTTAATATGCTGAGCTATTTGGCCCTTCAGATGGCATATTTAAAGTGATTAAATGTTAAGCACTGCTATGGCTGGGTGTGATTATATACACCTATAATACCAGCATTTGGGAGGTTGAGGCTGTGTCTGAAGCCAGCCTGAACTGTGTAGCAAGACCCTCTCTCTCAAAAAAAAAAAAAAAAAAAAAAGTTAAAGCATTAGCAGAAGTGGAACAATCTGACATCATAGCTTCCTGATATGATTCAATATGAAGTATATACTATTACCTATGTAGTACTCTTTTTAAAAAAAAATTATTTTTTTAAAAATTAATTTTATTGAGAAACAAATAGCAATGAGACAGTTTCAAAACAGGCCAGTAGGACAGTTACAATAATTAATACATTGCTTATTGTTGTCTTCACAGTGGTTACTCATAGTACAAGATGCAGACATGATATCCTGTCCAAACACTATTAGTACAAATCTTTATTCTCATTCAATTAAGAGAAAGTAGCTGTATATCTAGCCTATTTTGTATATACAGATACAAAATGGTTCTTCATTTGTATCCCCCTTTTTGGTTTAGTTTTGTCAGAGATGGGCATTCTAGTTCCATTTAAATATTGTAGGTGTGTGAATTCAGCAAAGTAATCCAATACAGTCCAGTAGACCATAATAGTGAGTTATCCGTAGGACTGGCAATGTCAGAAGTTGCTGACTTGAGCCTTTCACAGCTCAGCATATTAATATAATATGGCTTTACTTTTTATACTTCATTTTTGTACTTTTCTGCTGGATGGTTAAGACCAAGATAAAGCAAGACCCATATAACAAGAAATGTAACTTTTGTATCTGCCAAGGTCAGTCAAATCCCCTCAGGATTTACCCTGAAACTCTGTATCATAGTTTGTAGATCCTTTGTCAGTGTCAGTCATGGCTACTGCTTGACCAATCTGCTCTCTGTGAAAGCCTGAGAGAATGTTTTCTCTCCATGTGACTCTCCTTAGGCACACTCTGTGGATCACCTTCCTCTGTGGCCCCATAATCTCCTTGATCAGAAAATTTGGGACACCACTGAGTTACAGTACAGGTTCTCTTAATGTCCTGAGTCCTCACTGACCCTGAATGGCTAGGGCCAAAATGTTGGCTGTCCTTGTAGCCCTTCTTTTTCTCTAATTTTTGGTCTGCAAACTTAAGTTGTTAACCCTCCAGAAGAGAAGCTTAATGATATTATTACACTATAACATAGGCAGGTAGGCTTAACCTCACTCTCTGTCTGAATATCACCTATACAGTACTCTTGCCAAAAATATTCAGTTTGAATATTACAAAATCAAGCTTTCATATTACTTCTGTCTGATTCTGGATAAAGGCAAAAGTAAATTATGAATAAAAGAAATTCAGACAAATCTAGAAGGTAGAACTTATCAAACAATTGACCTGAACATTTAAAAAAAAAAAATCAATGTAAAAAATAAAAGATGGAGGGCCGGGGAGATGGCTCAGTAGAATAAGCGCTTGCCTGGCAAGCACAAGGGCCTGAGTTCAATCCCTGGTTCTGCCAAAATAAATAAATAAATAAATAAATGAATGATGGGTATAATCTGTTCCAAACTGAGAGACTACCCAGGCGTGATGGCACACACCTGTCATCCCAGTACTTGGGAGGCTGAGGCAGGAGGATCAATGCAAGTTTGTGTTTTTTTTTTTCCAATGCAAGTTTGAGACGAGCATAGGCTACAAAGTGAGCCCAAGGGCAGCATGAACTGCATAGTCAGACCTTGTGTCAAAAAGACTAGGGGGCCGGGGAGATAGCTTAGTGGCATAAGCGCTTCCCTGGCAAG